ATGGAGAGATTGAAGATGTGGGTCACAGGGACTGTGATGATATGAGCAGCCAGCCTTAAGAAATAAGGTGGAAGTTCATCTGGACCTGCAGATTTTTTAGGATCAAGATCTTTTAACAGTTTATTGACCTCACTGACTGAGAATGGAGAAAAAGAGAAGCTGTGATTAACTGAGGATTGACTTGTAGGAGGGATTTGATTTGTAGAAGTTTGGTTATTAAGTGAAGTGGCTGATCTTCCATTAGTAACTGTGTCAAATAAAGAACCAGAAGCAACAAAATGTTTGTTGAAACAGTTCAGGATCTCGTGCTTATTTGACACAGGAACAGAGTTAACGAGAAGTTGTGATGGGAGGTCAGATGATTGGGGGGTGCCTGAGAGAGATTTGATGGTTTTCTAGAATCTGTTAGGGTCATTTAGATTTTTGGAGGTCTGAGATAAGAAATAGTTGTTTTGCTGCTTTGACAGCAGTTGTACATTTATTCCTCATCTGTTGAAAACTCAACCAATCAGTGTCTGAGTCAGATTTTCTTGCTAAAGCCCAGAAATTAAATGTTTGTCGTCCGGTACCGTTGCAGTGTCCAGAACCCCCCCAGCCTTTTTTACATCACGTTCTGTCCTCTTTGTGTTTCAGCTGCACTCAGAGTCTCGTCCAGTCAGACACTACTGGTTCTGCTCCTGGCCCGACCACCACATCCCAGAATGCATTGCTTCCCTGCTCAGGCTGGTGGAGGAGGTGGAGGCGTACAGGATGAAATCCTCCACCAGCTCTGAACCAATCACGGAGCAGGTCTCCGGTCCTGGTCCGGTCATCGTCCACTGCAGGTTGGTGCTGCTTCAGTTCTACAGCTGAAAGTGACCCCATGTTAGAGTTGCATTTGGGCCCAAAAAATCTGACCCGACCCGGCCGGCCCCAGCCCGTAGCCATCATTTCAGTAATTACAGGTCCGAACCCGAAAAAAATAAAATAAAGTTTTTAATTAAGCTTTGACTGTTTACATTGTTTATCAACGGTCACGGACGTGTGCGGCTGAGGCGGCAGAAGATCGGAGTTGAGGGGGTGTTTGTCCTTCGTGGCCGTCAAAGCTCATTAAATCTCTGCTTCTGCTGCATTCTGCATGATTCAGACACGGACCCCGCTCTGACATGTTGGATATTTTGTGATGTCACCTGTTTGGGTCGTCGGCTGTGCGCGTCCGCTGAGTGCAGCGGCTGAATGAACGTCCACTTGGGCGATGGATCGCTGGCAGTCGTCCATCTGAGGCTTAACTGAACTTTTTAACTCTTTCAAGGCCGGTCAGCGCGCGGTCAAATGGCTGCGTGCAGCTGGTGATTATATGGCTAACCGTGTTGCCATATTTTTGGATCGTCTGCTGACGCAGCCAAAAGCCCGACACCGACCCGGCCCACACATTAAGCACATTATCATGGCCCGGCCCGAATAGGTTCGGGTTAGAAATGACATCTCTAACCGATGTGGCAGAAATCCGGATGAAACCGTGACCTAAGAAGTTCTCGTGCATCCTTTTATAAATGCGTGGAAACTGAAGCAACCCACTGAGCGTGGTTCTGGCACCTTCACGGAACACGTTTTATTTTCCTCTGGCAGCGCGGTCATTATCTGCAGCTCGTGGAACAGAAGCTCTCACTCTGAAACATCAGCACAGCAGGAGTTCTGCTCACCGAGCTGCAGCACCAGCCGGGCACGGCTCAGAGCGCCAGACGTTTTGAACGCTCCTTCCTGTGTGAGCGTTAAAGGCAGCAGATAAAAGTCGGCTGAGGGGTAAAAACACACAAAACTTGTTGAGGAACATCTGAACGCGTGACATCACTCTGATGGGTCTCTGAGAGGAAACGCTGTGGCCTCCTCCATTCAAGTTGAAGCTGCAGCTCAGAGTTTTCACATCTAACAGGCTGAAGAAACGTTCTCTCCTCTGTCTCCTCAGTGCTGGCATCGGCAGGACCGGCTGCTTCATAGCCAGCAGCATCGGCTGCCAGCAGCTCAGAGAATCGGGCCAGGTGGACATCCTGGAGACGGTCTGTCAGCTTCGACTCGACAGGTGAGACAAGCTCACTGTTTATTCTCTGCTCACCTGTCGGAGCGGCCATGTGACGTCTCCTCCTCCGTCCTCTGCAGGGGTGGAATGATTCAGACCACGGAGCAGTACCAGTCCCTGTACGCCACGCTGGCCCAGTACAGCCTGCAGCTACAGCAGAACCAGGTACTGAGCCCTCGAGACCCGTTCAGGTCCAGTCAAATCTGTGTAGAGCAACAGCTTCATCTGTTTTACTGATGATTTAAAGAACTACTTTCAGTGGGACATAAATACTGTATAAATAAATCCACAAATACTGTATTCCATCCATCCAACCATCCAACCAGTCATCCAACCAGTCATCATCTTCCACTGGTTCTGGACTCAGGTCTCAGGGGCAGCATATTGAGCAGGGAGGTCCAGACATCTCTCTCCACAGCCTCTTCCAGTTCTTCTGGGAGAACTCCAAGGTGTTCCCAGGACAACAGAGAGACATGGTCTCCCCAACGTGTCCTGGGTCTTCCCCGTGGTCTCCTCCCAGTCAGACATGACCAAACCACCTCAACTGGTTCCTCTGGATGTGGAGGAGCAGTGGTTCTCCTCTGAGTCTCTCCTGATAACTGAACTTCTCACCCTGTCTCTGAGGGAGAGTCCAGCTCCTGCAGAGGAAACTCATCTCAACCTCCTGGATCCACGATCTCATTCTTTCAGTCTCTACCAGAGTTCAGGACCAGAGGTGAGGGGAGGAACGTAGACCGACCAGTAAACAGAGAGCTTTGTCTTACAGCTCAGCTCCTCTTCACCACAACGGACCAGCACAGGGTCCGCAATACTGCAGACGCTGCACCAATCCATCTGTTAATCTCACGCTCCTTTCTTCCTTCACTCATGAACAAAACCCCGAGATACTTGAACTCCTCCACTTGAGGCAGAACCTCACCCTCGACCTGAAGAGAACAATCCACTCTTTTCTGACTGAGGACCATGGACTCAGATGTGGAGGTGCTGGTTCTCATCCCAGCTGCTTCACACTCGCCTGTGAACCGTTCCAGTGAGAGCTGAAGATCACGGCACGATGACGACACCCGGACCACATCATCTGCAAAGAGCAGAGATGAATCCTGAGGCCACAGAACTGGACTCCCTCCACCCCCCGGCTGCACCGAGAAGTTCTGTCCATAAAAGTTCTGAACAGAATCTGTGAGAACAAGCAGTCCTGAAGGGTCCGACTCGCTGCCGGTAATGAGAACCAACTCTCGCACCGCTTGTACAGGGACTGAACAGCCCGTAACAACAGGCCCCAATCCCAGACTCACGGAGCGCCCCCCCCCCCCCCACACACACACACACACACACACAGTGTACCTCGAGGAACACGGTCGAAAGCCTCTTCCAAGTCCACAAAACACATGTAGACTGGATGGGCAAACTCCCATGACCCCTCAAAGACCCTAGTGAGGGTAAAGAGCTGGTCCAGTGATCCACTAATCTAATCCTGAACTGATCCTGAATCTCAGGTTCAGACTCAGAAACTTGTTGTCGCTTCGAATGAATCAGGAAACAGTTTGATGTGAGCACAATCTAAACGTTCTTTTCTGTCCATCAGGAGCAGAACCAGATTCATTCTGCCACAGAACTCCAGAACCAGCTGACCCAGACGGAACGGGTCAGTTTGGAGATGCAGAACCTGCAGCTATAGAACAGAAACACTTGAAAGGATCCAGAACCTGAAGCACCAGCAGCATCTTCAATGCAACCAGAGAACCGGACCCAGAACCTGAAGGCAGCAGGATGGACACCAGCAGAGAACCCATGGCCCAGCAGGACCTGAAGAACTGGATGTTCTGTTCGGACTCCACAGAATGTGGTACCGAAACAAAGATGTTCAACCTGGAGTGAAAATCTCTGAAAACTGAATGTTTGAAAAAATGAAATAAAAGCCAACATTTGTAAAATGTTTAGACACTGAAAGAAATTATTCTTCCTGGTGGAGTGAGAAGAATCTGCAGCTCGACGTGAACCGGTTCTGCTGCCTACAGACGGAAGATTAGGATTAAGATCTAAAGAAGTTAAGTCTGGTCCACTGGACATTCAAAAAACAAAACATTTTACTTTTTGTTTTGTTTTGTTTTTTGAATGTCCAGAGGACCAGACTTAACTTCTTTAGATTTTTCTACCTGGATTATTGAGCATGCATCAGGATTAGGATTAAGAGTTTAAAGAATAGTTTTAAAATGACACAAGAAATTTTAAAATAAATAAATCAGCAAATTTATTCAGGAAATATCCAGACCCTTTGCCTTTTGAGATTACAACTCATAGGTGCAAACACTGACCTTAATTTCATAATTTTCTACTTTAATGTGAACATTGTTGAAATATTAAAATAATGACCAACAGGGGGCAGTGTTTCAGAAACATGTTTTTTTTGTTTCTTCTTCTTCTCTCTGGTCTCCTCAGCTTTCGTCAGCAACCCCACCCAAACCGGAAACAGAACAAATTAAATACTTACCGATTGTTTAAAAAAACAACAGAAGCAATAAATGTACATAAAAATTAAATTTAATTGTATTTCATTTTTATTTATAAGGTTATAAAAATCTAAATGGGGTTAAATAATCCTTAAAGCGTTATTTCATTTTATGTTTTTAACGGATTTCGTTCGTTTGTAGTTTATTTTGAAAGGCCTCACAGGATGTAGCCCAGTCTATCGTTTCCGCCTTGACGGGGTTAGCCGGAAAAAGCGCAGCTAGTAAACGTCAGAGAAAAGGCTGTCAGCGGCTTTAAAGGTTAAAAACGCCGAGCCAACAGGCCTGCTGTGTCCACACAGAGCTGCCGGTGGTTCTGGTTGTGACTGGTTCCGTCCGTGCTTGTCCCAGTGAGTGTCAGCGGGCAGAAGGAGCGGACCTGTTTGGGCGTTAGCCACCTAGCCGAGCAGCAGCAGCTAACGTTAGCCGCCGCAGACATGATAGCGCTCATCAACAAACTGCTGGACTGGTTCAAGGCTCTGTTCTGGAAGGAGGAGATGGAGCTCACCCTGGTCGGCCTGCAGTACTCCGGGAAGACCACCTTCGTCAACGTGATAGCGGTGAGTTCGGCGCTGGAGCGGTCGGTCCATTGTTACCCCGCGGAGTGATGAGGTCAGCTGGACCGACATCACACAGGTTCGGGTTCTGCAGACAGACCCGGTAACGGATGGGTTTAAAGGTTCTTCTGGAGGTTCGGTATCAGCCAGAAGCTGCTAACCGGATGTACTGTATCTGATCAGAAGTAGGAGGTTCCGATTCTGTGGAGCACAGGTGTGTGTCAACACAACACCAAAGCGGAAAGGCATCAGCAGTGACGCTGCCCATCAATCCGCGAAAGGTCAAAGGTCATTTCCAAACTGAACCAAAGATCCCCTCACCTGGACAAACTGTTATTTATGTCAAGCTTATTAAAGGGAGTGGTGGTGCAGAGGTTAGAGAAGGTGGGCCTGGGAGCGGAAGGTCGCTGGTTCAACTCCCCGGTTCAACAAGGTCAAAATGTGGGTGGGAAAGGTGAAGCACCCACACCTGCCTCCACCCTCATTTGCCTCAGTCTGGGCCCTTGAGCAAGGCCCTTAACCCCCACCACCTGCAGCTGTCTGCTCCACAGAGGCTGTGGTTGAGTCAGGAAGAACATCTGGGTAAAAACAATCACCAAGTCTTCTGTGAGTTAGTTCTCTGCAGAAGGAGCAGCCGAAAGAAGAAAAGATACATAAATAAATAAAGGTGAGCTTATTAGTCCGTAGTTGTGCACAACTAGAAATGTGGAAATATTTTAAGTCATTTACAGATGTCTTCTCTACGTGAACAGCTGGAGACGTTACCACTTCCAGAATTTGAGCCAAAGCTCAGATTGGAGTAAAAAGAGACGCGAGCGCGTCCTACCGGTTTTATTCTGTGAAGAACACCAAGTAGAACGTTGTTCTACAGACTGAACATCTGGCACGCTAACAGCTGCAGCTCAGGGACACGGACCAGCTCGTTGGACCAACTGATGAATTCAGCTGAAGAACCAGATCCTGTGACGCCGGCACAGAGACTCAAGCGTTCAGCTGTTCTGAGTCCACCTAACTGTGGTCCATCCTGAAGATGTTCACGACCAGAAACAGCAACAATTCCACAGAGACCTGCGGGAAGTCTGGAACGTCCAGATCAGCCGGAGGAAGATTTCTGTTGCCTCCTGGTCAGAATGAGCTCTTCAGGTTTATTAACGAGAGCCTTGAACTAAAGGTTCATGTAGTTGGAGGTTTGTTGGTGGTAAAATAAACGTCTTTGTCCCTGAAAGAGCAGAGTCTGAGTTGAGACGAGTCGAGGGACGAAGGTGATCAAAGTGTCCATCTGTGTTTCAGTCGGGTCAGTTCAGCGAAGACATGATTCCTACGGTTGGATTCAACATGAGGAAGATCACGAAAGGCAACGTCACCATCAAGGTGGGTCCTCCTCCATCATCTCCATCTTCATCATGAATGAAGCTGAGTAAATGATGTTTTAATGATGTCTGTCCAGTTGTGGGACATCGGAGGACAGCCTCGCTTCAGGAGCATGTGGGAGCGCTACTGTCGAGGAGTCAGCGCCATCGTGTAAGTCCTGCGTCCTACACGGGTCGGACTCTTCTGACCTCCACCATTGTCACGTGTTTTAATTATAGATCTAGTTAAAGTTCAGAGAAGTTCAGATTGAGCTCGAAACAAAAGAAACGCTGAGAACAAGGAAGCGGCAGACGACGTGGACAACAACTCGCCGACGCTCGTAGCTTCGTCTGCTTCCTGCATCCTCCACCCAGCTGATGCTCCCAAGCATCTCCAACGAGGAGAACGTGATGAGTAGGGCTGGGCGATATCTCACCATTTAAAAAATATCAGGATGATTTCATACGTCATATAAGATGAGACTGTATCATCTATATTTCTATGGTGAGTTACAATTAGACTGGAAAATCTGTCGGTTCTGGTTTTTCTGCCCGTCTGCACCTTCACGCAGCCCCCCCTCCCTCGCTGAAGACAAACACGGCACCACACGTGCTGCTTTGCACACGCTTAACGCCGTGAAGGCGGCGCAGCTGAAGAGGGTTCTTATTTAATCTAGAACAGTTGAGTCAGGTCCTCTGGACGTGTTCAAAACAAATGTAGAAACGTTTTGTCTTTCATCCAGAGGACTTCTTCAGTCTGAGGAGCTGCAGCAAACTCAGTCTTCTCATGGTGGATCAACCAGTTTGTTGTTGAAGAAACTGTTCACATGATCAAAGAGGACCATCATCCTACCAATGGATCATTAGCACCCTGATTAGGGACGGCAAGTGATGAGAATTTGGCAATTCAGATTCCTTTATCAATATCACCTATCGATTCAATTCCTTATCAATTCTGTTATCAGTTCTCATTGGGTTAGGCAATAAAGTATACTATACTATAGTATACTATACTGTACTATAATATGCTATAGTATAGTATACTATAGTATACCAGAACAAAAATAGAACTGGTATGAAAAAACAAGAATTCCTAATTAACACATTCACATAAAACACAACTGCACTTTTTAAAACTGTCAGTGTTTGTGCAGAAACATCAACATGTTGCTTTCACTGGAACCATACGAGATCTTTCTGGACCTCTAGTATCTCCAGCTGTGGAGAACACCCTCTCAGGTGTGTGTGTGTGTGTGTGTGGGGGGGGGGGGGTGATGCTTGGACACAGATACTTCTCTGCTAAAGCTGAGAACAATGGCAGCGTGTCCTTCTTCATCCACCACCAGAGGGTGGGGCTGTCTGTGGTTGGAATGGGTGATGCTGCTGATGCTGATGCTGCTGATGCTGATGCTGATGCTGCTGATGCTGATGCTGCTGCTGCTGCAGCACGACAGAAGCTCGCTGTCCTCTTCCTCAAAAAGTTCTTGTAGGACCGTCTGTTTTTGTCTGCTTTATGGGAGGCGTCTATTGACAGAGCCACAACTTGTAATCCACCAGGTTCAGCTTTAAATGAAATGGTGAAATAATCCCTGCAGTCTGTCATCTTTCATTACAAAGAGCAAACCTTCCACAGTTTTCATCTTCATCCTCTTCTGCCTGTGTCCCAGCTCTGACAGCTCCAGAAGAAACTCACCATGAAAACCAGTGAGCAACAAGAAGAGGTCTCACAACAGAAACAATTAAACACTGAACAAAGATAGAAAACACTTTTGTTGTTTTGTCACGAGTTGAACTCGAAGGTCTAAGACCTCCTTCCTTCAAATCTTGTTCAGACTCTGTGCTGGGGGGCACTTGTCCTACGTGTCAGACACCATGGACCGCTTGCTGCTGGCAGACGTTCCCCTCGCGGCTCGTGCTCCACGTTTCCATTAACAGGAAGAAGTCCAAGTCAAGTTTGTTGTCCTTCACCACACGTGGTACACGAGGTGGAATGAACTGTGTCCTCAGGGTCCCAGTTACACCCGTGCTCGTTTAGTAGCACGGGAGCTTGAAAAGAAGTGAACCCTTCAGATGTTCTGCCTCTTCAGGGACGTTTACTCAGAGTTGTTTGTTTGTTTGTTTGTTTGTGTCGCTGCAGGTACATGGTGGACGCAGCAGATCCAGAGAAGATCGAAGCCTCCAAGAACGAGCTGCACAACCTGCTGGATAAACCACAGCTGCAGGGAATTCCTGTAAGAACACACTGACACAGCCAGAACCAAACGGGCCCAACAGAACCTCTGCTGTCCGCCTGACGGGCGAAGGAGCAAGTCTGAGGAAACTGCTCGTTGAGCAGGACCTGCGTTAAAACAAGCTCGCATCAGCCCCGTTTCTTAGTTCCCCTTTTATTTTGAAATTAATTCAATCAGCTGTTTCAAGTATTTTATTTTGAAATTAATTCAATCAGCTGTTTCAAGTATTTTATTTTGAAATTAATTCAATCAGCTGTTTCAAGTATTTTATTTTGAAACAAATTCAATCAACTGTTTGAAGTATTTTATTTTGAAACAAATTCAATCAACTGTTTCAAGTATTTTATTTTGAAACAAATTCAATCAGCTGTTTGAAGTATTTT